TCTAACTTTTACACTATGTTGTTTCAATACCAAAATTGTAGATGTCATTGGAGTGTTGACAACAATAACTTCTGCAAATAAAGTCCAGCTGAATCACAAAAGCGCTCCTGTTCTCAAAAGGGACATGTATCTACAAAATCTCAGGTAATTACTATAAGGAGTGTATAATATCTTTTTATGTCAATATTTTTACATGTAAACATAGGCATTTTAATATAAATAGATTTCTTAACATACCATGTTTCTTTTGTTATAAACTTTTCAAAGTAATAGTACAATCAAAGTTGTGTTGTATGAAAAATTGGCCTTGGAAATAAATGAAGATGAACTACTTCGAAACAAGCCAAACACTGCTCTTGCTATAGTTGGTTTGATGATCAAGACTTATATGCGTAAGTTAATCATTACAAATATTTCATACAGTCACCATAGCTTTTTACCATAAAAAACCATAGTTAGTTAACTAATAACATTTTGTAAGATCATTGTATGCATCTTCCTACTCTGCAACTAGAATTTATATCGATCATTTTATTCCTGAAGTAGAGGAACTAAAGACGAGGTGATGTTGTGCAAACTGAATAATTACATTATTTAATTTAAAACGACCTTGAAAGCATGCTACTTATAACTGACAAAACAAAATTACAGATACCAAAATGAGCCAATTCATGCCCAACTGCAAAAAATGGAAGAGGGAGATCCCCTACAAATTACTCAATCAACTTCGATCGAAAAAGCAACAGTTGAAGACGTGCTGGCAATAGAACCAAGGAAAAAAATGGTAAAAATCTATCTAAACTATCATATTTTAACAACAAAGATTTATTTACCTAGAACCATTTATAAATTAACAATAACATTTACATTATCTTTCAGAACAAGAAATTTGAGCTCATAGGAACGATAGTCAATATAGAAGCACCAAATGGGTGGTACTACAATGCATGCAACGAATGTGCAAAAGGATTGAAATATATATTTGACAAATTTTGGTGTAGTACCCGTGATGAAAAAGTATTGATGTAAGAAAACTAAAACTCCATCATCAAATTCACAAACAAAATATTGTTCCATAAAATAACATTAATGATATTTTTATCTATTTCGAACAGGATGATTTTAGAGCTAACAATACAAGATACAACTAGTGAAATTCAACTGATGATCTTTGGTCAGTAAGCAAAACAGTTAATTGGAGCAACCACAGCAAAACTTGCTGCCATCAAAGAAATTGACAAAATGATTCTTCCAGCTCCTGTTAAAGTCTTGATAAACACAAAAAGAACATTCAAGGTTGGACTAACAGCAAAAGCTATTGATCAAGAATTGTTGAGATTCAAGGTTTTTGAGAGTAACAATGTCAAAGAAACCTTGCTTGATGGATGGGAAGCAGAAAAAGGTACAACCAAAACAATTGAGGACTTAATCCAAGAACCACCAGTAAAAAATTCAAAAATCATGTATGTTAATTACCTTACTTTTTAAATTTTTTACAAAATTTAACTTAAAAGCTTAAAAAAAATTAGACATTAAACAATTTTTTTTTTCATGTATACAACAGGTCTAACGAAAACAGTACATTACATAATTTAATTTACTTATGGTGTTCCCTTTTGATTAGTTTATTGTTTGTTTTACGTAACAAACTATTACTGTTAAATATACTATTCAAATAAATTTATCTTTTATCAAATTTTTCATAATTAAAATTAAAATAAATAATTTTTTATAATTAATATCAATTTATTTATTTTTTATAAATAATTTATTTTTAAAAAATATTAAATTAAAATTTAATATAATATAATTTATATTTTTTATAATATTTTTCGTAACGTAGCTACGAGCACAGTCCTAATTATATACAAAAATAGATTCCCCTCTAGTGAGTTTTTAATATCTAGACGTTTATCGCAAAACTCTAAAACAGAGTTTCTCGTACAAAGTCTTTAGGGAGTCCATTCGCTCTTCCAAGGAATATATTTAAAACTAACCCACGCTCCACCGCCTGTTCTACACGCGCCGCTAAGTAAAAACTTGTTCAAAATGGCTGAAGAAAAGAAGGAAGAAATCAAGTCGTTTAAAGATTTAGGCTTATGCGACGAATTAGTGGAAGCATGCGATAGTTTAAGTTGGAAAACCCTACCAAAATCCAAGTCGAACCCATACCCCACGCGCTCATAGGTTTCGCCGCCTTTTCTTCTAAATTGTTTTGAGGAACTTCGTTTAACTGGATTTTTTTTTTTTAATTTGGAGGATTTTCGCATTGCAGGGAAGGATTTGGTTGGGCTTGCGCAAACTGGGATAAAAATCTGCACCCGTGTTCTTCGCTTTGGTGCTTTCCCCAACACGGTCTGATATCTAAAAACTTTTTAATTTCGTCGTGGAAAGGAATTTTTTTTATTTGTTGTTGAATATTATTCAGTTTAATCGGCAATTTGTTGTTACAGGGAGCTTGCCAGTCAAATTGCGGAACAATTTGAAGCTTTAAGATCTGGGATTAGCCTGAAATGTGCAGTGGTAAGCTTCCAGTCAAAAACATACCTGATCGTTAGCCAGTTGGTTTCTTTAAAATGGTTTTTGTTGTCTGTCTAATAGGATCGAGATCTTCCTTTTTGACTGGTTCTTTAATTTATGCTACGAGTGATATGTTGTTTGCTGACTTTGATGATTTTGCTTCTTCATTTATGCTTTTCGTAAATTAACTTATTTCGATTGCTTAAATTTTGGTCCTGAATATTTGAAAGCTTGTTGGAGGGGTGGACCTAATGCAACAACAAATTGCCCTTGGAAAGTGGCAACCCATCATTGTAAGTTCATCTTTTGCTTCCTTGCTATATTCTGAAAAGTGTTTGTGCTATGAAGCAATTTTGAGCCTAAAGGATCTGGGTTAAGTAGATCTGTGAGAAAAGACCTTATTGTAATTATGAAGCTGCAGATTACAGTATGATGGACAAAATTGATTGTAAGTTTCGGAGTGTAATGTGTGTTGAGCCTTTCTAAGTTGCTTATTTTCTATGATGTAGTGACGAAGGTTATGCTTGGTGGTTTTCAGTGTACTCATGCTTGATTTTTTTGACCATCATAATCCTTTTCTTTAATCTTGGTGTACTGGTTGACTAGGCAAGCGAGGACCTCCGGTTTTCT